TGGAGAGCTGCCAGGCCAATATCTGCAAAACTTGGCAAGGAGCCTCGAAGAGTCACAAACCAATTAAGCAAACTGTCTCCTGCAAACTTCACTCCCCTTTTGCTCTTCTTTTAATTCCTCTGCTAGGAGCCATTCATCGTCCATCTGTGGCCTTACTCCCAACTCGACCCCTTGTCTTTCACTGCTCCCTTCATCTGGCAACTCTGTGCATGCGCACACTGGGAACACCCTCCAGCTCTTTGTCTGCCTCACTGCTGTCAGACTCTGAGGGCAGCTGATAACTGTCAGGCGGCCCTGGCCCCCTCTCTGCCTCTAACACAGAGCCCTCATCAGAGCCTTCCCCAGACTCCAGGACTGGCCCATGTTCCTCCCCAACCTCCTTACTGTCTGAATCTGCTGCCAGCTCTGCTGGCGGGCCACAACAAAAAGTTTGTCATGCATAAAAAACAAGTGACTATCTTGATGTTGCAACCATACACCCTGGCACAAAGGCAGGGAGGCCCAGGGAAGCGGGAGGGTCCCTGCCAGCATCTTCTACTCACCCCTTGGGAGTGAAGATATTCCACGGTCTTGCCGATCGTGTGCAGGACGGAGCTGGCTTCTCTTTCCGAAAAACACTTCTGCTGGAGAATCCTGTCTAGCAGTTCCCCACCTCTCATTAGTTCAGTCACCAGGTAAACGTGTTTGCCATCATCGTACACCTGCCAAATGGAAATCTCTGAGCAAGTTCTGAGAAAAATGATTTAACACGTTTCCCAAAACCGTCTCCCAACTTCATACTATACATCAGGGGTGTCAAGCTCAGGGACCGCATCCGGCCCACAGGGTGCTTAGATCTGGTCCATGGGCCTGCCCTGGAAACAATGGACTCTGCCAGTGAAAACGGAGCTCAGGAGAACCATGCGCAGCCTTCCTGGGCTCTATTTCTGGCCGCCCCCTCCCTCTGACCCACATACCTTCCAGCTGCATCAAAAATTCCAAGCCTCAAATTGGATGTAGGGGTGTCAAACTCCACGGGCGCATCAGGGTTGTGTTTGACCTCGGGGGGGGGGGCAGAGGCGGCATGGTCAGGGTGGGCATGGCCAGCTCAACGACACTCATCAAGTATCCGTTTCTGGCCATGACGACCTTCTGCAGCTCTCTGCCAGTGAAAATGGAGCCCCCCATTTTCACTGGCAGAGGGCTGCAGGAGGCCATCATCACCCCTACATCCAATTTGAGGCCTGGAATTTGCACAGGATGCAATTCTGTATAGGGAAAAAGATTTCCACTATACATAAACAGCATCTCAACAAACATGGAGTTGTCATGTATGATGTCTGGCCCCTGAAGCAGAGGGGTGTGTGTATGTGTGTGTGTGTAGCAATATTATGCTGAATCAGAACTGACATGCATGCCAGCAGAAATCTGATGAGTTGCAGCTTTTGGGGGCACCATATACATAGTGCCAACTCTTTCACTTTAACCCCTGCTTGTTTTTTCTTATATTTTCCTTCAACAAACACCCCCCGTAAAAAGGAGAGCCTGCTCTGAGTACTAGGAAGGAATTCAGAACTGTCTCTAAATACAGCTTCAAAAAGTCTGTGTCTTTTACGAATCCTGCCAGGCTTTAACTGTGAGCAGATCTAATTTGGGAATGAAAAAGCCAGGAAAGGGATGTTTTATCTACAGGGTTGCACTGTTCACCAATGAACTATAGGTAATTCACCTAACAGCCACACTTGAGATTGGAATCTCGGTCGTTGAGCAAAGCAGTCATTAAGTGAGACACCATGTGATGCAGTGGTGGGATTCCAAATCTTTTTCTACCAGTTCTATGAGATCGCACTTTAGCACTCAAAGACCGTCCTCAGTGTTTTAGCTCAGCTGAAGCCCGGCAATCTTCTCTACTGCACGAATCAGCTGAGCTAAAAAAAGAAGGGAATATAGGACAGGGAACGATGGGGGCCGGAGGGCGAGGCCAACCAGAAGTGGTATTTACTGCTTCTCTGAACTACTCAAAATTTCCGCTACTGGTTCAGTCGAACTGGTCCAAACCAGCTGAATACCACATCTGATGTGATTGCTTTGCTCAATGACTGCAATCTTAGCACTCCTGATTGTTCATTAAGCAATCTCATGGGTCACTAAATAGATGGGAGTCGCAGGTAAGGGCACGGGGTGCCTGGGATGCCGAGTGCAGGCCGTGCACAAGTGTTTCTCCATTCAGGAACTGAAAATCCTCTCTGCTGAAATCCAAGTAGGATTTTTCAGACTCAGTGGAGAGAAACTCATATATGGCCTATGCCAGGCCTCCTCCACCCCAAGGCACCCTCAACACTCCTTACCTTATTACTAGGCTGCCTTCCTGTTCTGGAATTGTAAATCCACTGTGACTGGAAAATCCTGCTTGGATCTTGGGATAGATTTTTTTTTGGCCAACCCCCAGAAGAGGGAGTCGTCTTGCCAGACAATTTCCCTGCCGTCTTCCCCATTGATTTCCTGGGGAAGCCAGTAGGGAAGATACAATGGTGATCCCATGATGACAGGACACTTGGCAATTCAATGTAAGTGCAAATCAGCTGCCAAGCACTCAGTTTGCAATCATGTAACTGGAGGGTCACTGCAATGGCCATAACTTCAGGCATGGGGGCGCAAGTGCTTTATTTAACACTGTTGTAATTTTGAACAATTGCTGAACAAACAGTTGTGAAGCGAGAACTGCCTGCACAAATATTCTGATCCACTGTCCTCCCCTAGTCATGAATGAACAATTGCTTTACTCTCCCAAGCGTAGTGTGTTGATAAGCTCTATTTTGCTATGACACTCACATCCTTCAGTGTGATGATGTTTGGGTGCTGTCCGTACCGTAGGAGTATCTCAATTTCCTCGGAAGGATCTCGCTTACTCTTGTCAATAATCTGCAAGGTACATTCCGTTTTAGTACAATTTACTACAAACTATTTTTGAAAGGGGGGGGGGGTCAGATTATATTTTAAAGTTGAAAACATAACATACATATTTAATTTCAATCTCTCCATTAACCGTGCAAGGTTTTATTACTTAATTATTCACTGTACCTCTAGCCCATCCAGTAGACTTGAGTCATGTACAAAGCAATTAAAACATGCTATAAAATATATATTAAACCCATATAAAAAGGCTTAATTTATAAAATTAAGCAGCATAAATCATATAGCATCAATATACAAATCAACGTTCATACAAATAGCAGTAAACGCCGAATAAAAGAATAAAGTTCTAAAAATCTGTACAATATATATATTTTTAATACCTTTTTTACAGTCTGATGTGCGATGCAAGAGTGTAAAACATCATTTACACAACTATACACACACACACACACACACACACACATTATGACCTAGAATCCCACCCAAGATGCCTGTCCGGTCAGCAAATGGTAGTGGTGAGTTGTGAAATCAAGGATTTTTCCTATCATTCAACCCCAGTGTTACATCAATTCACATCTGGGATTGGCAAATACAGTTTTGAACACCCAAATTCAGTGGTACAAGGCTAAGACTTCCTTTAGTCAGGCATGGAAGCTTCAGGCCTGCCACAATCCATGCTGTGGGAAAATGGAAGGGGGGATTATATGGAGTATGGGAGATATATAGTCAAAATAACATTCTTTTCTCAGAGAGTCAAGGACATCTTGTCCTGCACCTGGAGGGGTGTAACTGGGAGGCATCTCCAGTTGGAATGGTGCCTGATTGGACCATGTGATGGACATGTGGGTGATGGGCAGGGGCTTGGACTTTTTTTTGGGGTAGGGAAAACCTGGAAACTTTCAGATTCAGGCTTTCCCAGATGTGCCAATATGACATCTCTAATAAAATGAAGCTTTGAGGAATCTCAAGCCTTGGAGTCTCCTTTCGTTGGGGGTGTTACTTGCAACCCTGACACCTTGCATTCAGAAACCCAACTTTGCTCTCCTGCATTAATATCCACAGGGAAGCGTCTCTTTAAAACGAATAGTGGGATTTTAAAAGATTTCACCGTTCTCGGGCTTGAAGAAAGAGGAAGCTCTGACCTTGACTGCGTATTCTGTGCTGGTTGTCTTGTGAATACACCGCTTGCATACCGAATAAGAGCCCACACCGATGACTTCTTTAACCAAGTAACCATCATTAAACTGGAGATTCTTCCCATGCAGTTGCTACAAGAAAAAGCAATAAGGAAAAAAATCAAGTTTGCTAGACTATACACAAAGTCTCTCAGCTTGTTGTGGCCTGCCAGCACCCAGCAGAGCTGGCAGCAGATTCAGGCAGTGAGGAGGTTGGGGAGGAACATGGGCCAGTCCTGGAGTCTGAGGAAGGCTCTGATGAGGGCTCTGTGTCGGAGGCAGAGAGGGGGCAAGAGTCGTCTGAAAGTTATCAGCAGCCTTTGGAGTCAGACATCAGTGAGGCAGATGAGCAGCTGGAGCCTGTTCCCAGTGTGAGCATGCACAGAGTTGCCAGACAAAGGGAACAGCTAAGGAACTGGGATCGACTTGGGAGGAAGGCCATGAGTAGACGGTGAATGGNTGTGATGCAGTGGTGGGATTCCAAATCTTTTTCTACCAGTTCTATGAGATCGCACTTTAGCACTCAAAGACCGTCCTCAGTGTTTTAGCTCAGCTGAAGCCCGGCAATCTTCTCTACTGCACGAATCAGCTGAGCTAAAAAAAGAAGGGAATATAGGACAGGGAACGATGGGGGCCGGAGGGCGAGGCCAACCAGAAGTGGTATTTACTGCTTCTCTGAACTACTCAAAATTTCCGCTACTGGTTCAGTCGAACTGGTCCAAACCAGCTGAATACCACATCTGATGTGATTGCTTTGCTCAATGACTGCAATCTTAGCACTCCTGATTGTTCATTAAGCAATCTCATGGGTCACTAAATAGATGGGAGTCGCAGGTAAGGGCACGGGGTGCCTGGGATGCCGAGTGCAGGCCGTGCACAAGTGTTTCTCCATTCAGGAACTGAAAATCCTCTCTGCTGAAATCCAAGTAGGATTTTTCAGACTCAGTGGAGAGAAACTCATATATGGCCTATGCCAGGCCTCCTCCACCCCAAGGCACCCTCAACACTCCTTACCTTATTACTAGGCTGCCTTCCTGTTCTGGAATTGTAAATCCACTGTGACTGGAAAATCCTGCTTGGATCTTGGGATAGATTTTTTTTTGGCCAACCCCCAGAAGAGGGAGTCGTCTTGCCAGACAATTTCCCTGCCGTCTTCCCCATTGATTTCCTGGGGAAGCCAGTAGGGAAGATACAATGGTGATCCCATGATGACAGGACACTTGGCAATTCAATGTAAGTGCAAATCAGCTGCCAAGCACTCAGTTTGCAATCATGTAACTGGAGGGTCACTGCAATGGCCATAACTTCAGGCATGGGGGCGCAAGTGCTTTATTTAACACTGTTGTAATTTTGAACAATTGCTGAACAAACAGTTGTGAAGCGAGAACTGCCTGCACAAATATTCTGATCCACTGTCCTCCCCTAGTCATGAATGAACAATTGCTTTACTCTCCCAAGCGTAGTGTGTTGATAAGCTCTATTTTGCTATGACACTCACATCCTTCAGTGTGATGATGTTTGGGTGCTGTCCGTACCGTAGGAGTATCTCAATTTCCTCGGAAGGATCTCGCTTACTCTTGTCAATAATCTGCAAGGTACATTCCGTTTTAGTACAATTTACTACAAACTATTTTTGAAAGGGGGGGGGGGTCAGATTATATTTTAAAGTTGAAAACATAACATACATATTTAATTTCAATCTCTCCATTAACCGTGCAAGGTTTTATTACTTAATTATTCACTGTACCTCTAGCCCATCCAGTAGACTTGAGTCATGTACAAAGCAATTAAAACATGCTATAAAATATATATTAAACCCATATAAAAAGGCTTAATTTATAAAATTAAGCAGCATAAATCATATAGCATCAATATACAAATCAACGTTCATACAAATAGCAGTAAACGCCGAATAAAAGAATAAAGTTCTAAAAATCTGTACAATATATATATTTTTAATACCTTTTTTACAGTCTGATGTGCGATGCAAGAGTGTAAAACATCATTTACACAACTATACACACACACACACACACACACACACATTATGACCTAGAATCCCACCCAAGATGCCTGTCCGGTCAGCAAATGGTAGTGGTGAGTTGTGAAATCAAGGATTTTTCCTATCATTCAACCCCAGTGTTACATCAATTCACATCTGGGATTGGCAAATACAGTTTTGAACACCCAAATTCAGTGGTACAAGGCTAAGACTTCCTTTAGTCAGGCATGGAAGCTTCAGGCCTGCCACAATCCATGCTGTGGGAAAATGGAAGGGGGGATTATATGGAGTATGGGAGATATATAGTCAAAATAACATTCTTTTCTCAGAGAGTCAAGGACATCTTGTCCTGCACCTGGAGGGGTGTAACTGGGAGGCATCTCCAGTTGGAATGGTGCCTGATTGGACCATGTGATGGACATGTGGGTGATGGGCAGGGGCTTGGACTTTTTTTTGGGGTAGGGAAAACCTGGAAACTTTCAGATTCAGGCTTTCCCAGATGTGCCAATATGACATCTCTAATAAAATGAAGCTTTGAGGAATCTCAAGCCTTGGAGTCTCCTTTCGTTGGGGGTGTTACTTGCAACCCTGACACCTTGCATTCAGAAACCCAACTTTGCTCTCCTGCATTAATATCCACAGGGAAGCGTCTCTTTAAAACGAATAGTGGGATTTTAAAAGATTTCACCGTTCTCGGGCTTGAAGAAAGAGGAAGCTCTGACCTTGACTGCGTATTCTGTGCTGGTTGTCTTGTGAATACACCGCTTGCATACCGAATAAGAGCCCACACCGATGACTTCTTTAACCAAGTAACCATCATTAAACTGGAGATTCTTCCCATGCAGTTGCTACAAGAAAAAGCAATAAGGAAAAAAATCAAGTTTGCTAGACTATACACAAAGTCTCTCAGCTTGTTGTGGCCTGCCAGCACCCAGCAGAGCTGGCAGCAGATTCAGGCAGTGAGGAGGTTGGGGAGGAACATGGGCCAGTCCTGGAGTCTGAGGAAGGCTCTGATGAGGGCTCTGTGTCGGAGGCAGAGAGGGGGCAAGAGTCGTCTGAAAGTTATCAGCAGCCTTTGGAGTCAGACATCAGTGAGGCAGATGAGCAGCTGGAGCCTGTTCCCAGTGTGAGCATGCACAGAGTTGCCAGACAAAGGGAACAGCTAAGGAACTGGGATCGACTTGGGAGGAAGGCCATGAGTAGACGGTGAATGGCCCCTCCCATAGGGAATTAAAGAGGAGCGAAAGGAGAGGAATGTTTGCATGAGACAATTAGTTCATTCCTGCATTCTTGCCAAGTATTGCAGCATCTGAAAGATATCAGCCTGGCCTCTTCCCAAGCCTGATAAAGGTCAGTAATTACCTCCTTTCTCTGCAGCTGGCATCTCTTCAAGAGCAGCTAGAAGCTCTGATGGAAAAATGAACATTTCA